TGTTGGAGTTTCAGCATCAGTCCTTCCAATGAACATTCAGGGTTGGTTTTACACATGGTAGTGTATATATGTCCATGCTACTCTCTCTGTCTGTCCCCTTTCCTTCCCCCACCGTGTCCACATGTCCATTCTCTACATCTGCCTTTCTGTTCCTGAAGGGCAGATTGTTGATAAAGTAGCCAAGGGCATAGCAGCAAGTTGGCATCAAGAACCTTCCATCTGTAACACATAAATGATGTTCCAGATAATGTGATTCAGCTATGGGCTGGCGCCTCCCCTCCCTCATCTCTGGAACTGCCACAATTTTAATAAACAGAGCTCGCTCCATGCGTTCAAGGGACAGTACAATTGCAGGCATAATTTACTCTCCTGTGAGCACTAGTGTTTAAATTCTCAAATTGTCATTGTTTGTGTTGGTTTCCAGCACACGGAAATTGCATAATAGAAATATAACAGCAAAGACCCAGAAAGCTTGCTCTGTGCCGAGCGTGTTCTGAGTTCTCCTCATGTGTCAACCCCCCCACGGCTTACCTCTCCCTCCCGCCTCCAGCATTCATCTTTGTCCTGGGCACAACCTGTACCCTGAGGTGCCCACACAGCCCTCTGACCTGCCAGTCATCCCCCTCAGGAATCGTAAGGCCGGGCAGCCCCCCACCTTGCACCCTGCCACCCCACCGTCAGGGGTGTGGGCTTCCGGCCAGCCCTCCGAGCAAAGACCGTGCGGTGATGTAGCCATTGTTTTCAAGGATCCAGGATGTCTTTAAGAAGAAAGAGTACTGTCATCTGTGAGCGTGAGTCATGCTCCAAAAAACTAAAGGGAGTGAGCTTAAAATAGAATCAAGAACATCGGAAGGGACTCGGAGAAAGCCAGACTGAGAAGATAATGGCACAGTGAGTACTGTGGCTGCAAAGAGATGAAAACAGGAGCCTCTAAGTGGGGAGCCCAGGACACCCTGGAGCCCCTCCCTCCATCCCTGCCCTTCAGTGGCCACCAAGCCGGTCCTCCAGCCCTGGAGCCCTGGCTGCAGGAGAGCAGGGACTTGCCTACTTCGCTGTGCTGCTGGAAGAAGGGGCCAGAACACGGCACCCTGAGCTGGTGGCGGGCAGGTGGATGATGACGTTGTCAACTGAGCCCTCTGGACCCGGCCCCTTCTTCCGAGCCTCCCCTTCCCCAGACCTGTTACTACCACCTGGCTTCTGTGCTCCCTCCCACCTCCAGCCGCTAGAGGGTCTGAAATAAAAGCAAAGTCCAGCCCACCTTTGTCCATGTCCCCCAGTGGATGCCCTGGTACACAGGCTCAGCCCTGACTCCCCGAGCGATGCGAAGGCCAGACCCCGCTGCCCTTCCCCTTCCCTCTCCATCTCTCCTCTCCCTTGCTGGGCCATCAGGGCCCCCATCCCCACTTCTGTTTGGGCCTGGACCCCTGCCTGGGGCACCCAGACAGCCTGGTGGACACTGTCTTGTCCCCAGACACCCCCTCTACCGTGAAGACCCCCCCCTCTGGGAACTGTCCCGGGAGATCCCCTATCCTGTCATTATGGACTCTGCACCCTGTGCTCAGCATTCTCCAGGCACCTCATTTTTATTTCTGTTATGGTGCTAGCCACATGGTTCTTTCAGTTCATCACTGTGCTTTTCTTGAAGGCTAAGCACCATCCAATGTCAGGGGTGCGGGTGAGGCAGGCAGAGAACCCACGTCATCACTTGAAAGAAGGAGAAAACTTAGGGTTGTGTCTTGTGTGATTAACAAGCCACCGTCCTGCCTGGCACCTGCTGTGTGCCCTTATACCAGCAGCGGACTCAAATCCGCTCCTCTCACCTCACAGCCTCCTCATTCTTCAGTGGAGCAAACTGCAGCTTGGGGGGCAGAGCTGTGCTCACATCCCACCTCGGGGGCTCCCAGCTGCATCCCCCGTCCCATAGGCCTTACCCCCAGTCAAAGGTGTGCCAAAAGGTTGGTATAGTCAAAGCTATGGTTTTTCCAGTAGTCGTGTACAGTTGTGAGAATTGGACCATAAAGAAAGCTGAACGCCAAAGAATTGATGCTTTTGAATCGTGATGCTGGAGAAGACTCTTGAGAGTCCCTTGGACTGCAAGGATATCAAACCAGTCCATCGTAAAGGAAATCAACCCTGAATATTCATTGGAAGGACTGATGCTAAAGCTGAAGCTCCAATACCACCTGATGCAAAGAGCTGATTCATTGGAAAAGACCCTGATGCTGGGAAAGATTGAAGGCAGGAGGAGAAGGGAAGACAGAGGATGAGATGGTTGAATGGCATCACTGACCCAATGGACATGAGTTTGAGCAAACTCTGGGAGGTGGCGATGGACAGGGAGGCCTGGTGAGCTGCAGTCCGTGGGGTTGCAAAGAGTTGGACGCAACTGAGCAACTGAAAAACAACAAAGATGTGGCCTTCCCCGGTAGGTACAGATGACACGGATACAGTGGCCGGAGGAGCAAGGGTGAGACGCGGGTCCTGTTGAGAGTGCGGGGCTGTCACAGGCGCTTTCTCAGGGGAGATGACTTCAAAGTCAGGACCCAAAGGATGCGCGGGAGTTGCTGAGCACCCGGAGAGGGTACAGAATGTTCCAGCCTGAGGGAGCAGCCTGGGGGAAGTCCCAGAGTATGAGCACAGCTGGCAACCTGGAGCAAAGACAGCTTGAGGGGCTGGAGAAGGTCTAGGGGTGGAGGGTATGCTGAGCGGAGCCTAATGAGTGAATCAAGGTATTTGGGCTTGTCCTGGGGGCGGTCGGACAGTCAGAAGCCAAAGAAAGGATTTCAGCGAGAGGGTGACTTGATCTGATACAAGGCTTCGGGCAGAGTACAAATTGGGCAGAGGACAGAGGTTGATGTGGGAAGACCAGTCTGGCCGTTCGCCAGAGATGATGGTCTGGATGAGGGTGGAGGCCGTAGAGAAAAAAAGGAATGGATCTGACAGAAACTTTATTAACTTTTTATTTGTATTGGGGTATAGCCGGTTAACAATGTTGTGATACTTTCAGGTGGAAAGCCAAGGGGCTCAGCCATACATACACATGTATCCATCTTCCCCCAAACTCCCCTCCCGTCCAGGCTGCCACACAACGCTGAGCAGAGTTCCCTATGCTGTCCACTAGGTCCTTGTTGGTTATCCCCTTAAGATATAGCTGTGTGTATCTCTCCTTCCCAAACTCCCTAGCTATCCCTTCCCCACATCCTTCCGGCAACCATAAGTTCATTCTCTAAATCTGTGAGTCTCTTTCTGTTTTGTAAATAAGTTCATTTGTATAATTTCATTTAAGATTCCTTCTATAAGAAATGTCATAGGATATTTCTCCTTCTCTATCTGACTTATTTCACTCAGTATGACAATCCCTTGGATCGGAGAGAATTTGAGGGAGGAAAATCTCACAACATTCGCACATTGGATGTGAAGATGATAGGGAGAGGTCAAAGATGCCAGCTGCGTGCCGGGTGTGGGCAGGTGACTGCCTAGCAACACTGCACTCGGGGAGAGAAAACACAGGGGGGGAGGAGGATACGGTATCGGGGATGTGTGTGGATCCGGGGTCCCCAAGGGCATCTGGGAGGCAGTTGGAAGGTTAAGCCAGGACTCCCAAGAACAAGTTGCCTGCCTGTACAGATGTGAGAGTGTGTACAGTCCGTGCTTGATGCTGCAGGTGGGGATGAGTTTAGGGAGGGATGGAGGCACGCCTGTCTCCTCTCTCTCCCCCCTGTACTGGCCACATGCTGTGCTGTGCTAAGTCACCTCAGTGTCCGACTCCGCGACCCTATGGACTGTAGCCCACCAGGCTCCTCTGTCCATGGAATTCTCCAGGCAAGAATACTGGAGTGGGTTGCCATGCCCTCCTCCAGGAGATCTTCCCAACCCAGGGATCAAACCTGGGTCTCTTAAATCCCTGCACTGATTGGCAGGCAGATTCTTTACCACTAGCCACCATAAATTTAAATCACCCCATGTGCCCTGACCACATGGGGTTATTGAAATTCAATTAGAATAATTAAATACAATTAAAAATTCCATCTTCGGGGGAATTCCCTGGTGGTCCATTAGTTAGGACTTAGTACTTTCATTGCCAGAGCCCCAGTTCAATCCCTGATTGGCGAACTAAACTCCCAAGGGGTGGGTACAAAAAAATATATATATATGTATATATATATATATCAGTTCAGTTCAGTCGCTCAGTCATGTCCGACTATTTGCAACCCCATGAATCACAGCATGCCAGGCCTCCCTGTCCATCACCAATTCCTGGAGTTTACTCAAACTCATGTCCATCGAGTCGGTGATGCCATCCAGCCATCTCATCCTCTGTCGGCCCCTTCTCCTCCTGCCCCAATCCCTCGCAGCATCAGGGTCTTTTCCAATGAGTCAATATATATATATATATATGTCTTCAGTCACACTAGCCCCATTTCGAGTGCTCAGAAGCCACATGGCTTGTGGCTTCCCTAGTGGCCAGGGCAGGTTACAGACCATTCCCATCATCACAGACCACTCTAGTGGCCAGCACTGGGTCCAGGCTCTCTTGGATTTGTGTCCATGGGTGCCCAGGTCCTCAGAAGAAAAAGTACAATTCCCTAGATTAGCTACCTTTGAGAAGTCAACAGGCAGCTGTTGGCTGGCCTGAAGGTCAGAGGAGGAGCCCTGCACTCTTCAAGGTGCTTCGCAGGAGTGGTTGGCCTCACGCTCGGGCTCCACATCAGCCACAGGGCCCAGCTAGAACCTGGGAGTCTCAGCACACGAGGCTCCTCTTCATGTTTGTCTGGCCTAAGTCTGAATTCTTTCTCAGGCCCATGGGCAATAGCATGTTTGCATTTGAGCGAGTAAACCCTTCTAGATGACAATTCATGACCACAGAGTCTCCACAGAGAATCAGATCTGGAGCTTCCATTTCAGAAGTCAGTTCTGAGTCATCAAAAAGGTTCAGTTTCTGCTCTTGCTTTTGTTTTCCATCTTCGTGGAGTGTGTACCTTTGTTCTTTTCTTTTCCAGTCGGATGTCATGGATCAGAATTTGTTAAATTTCCTTCCAGAGCAAGAACACTCAGAAGTCTATAAAATGCTCTCTTCCCATATGCTTGTGACGGACACCCCTTCCCCAGAATACTTAAAATGTAAGTTTAACTTCACTGGTTTGGTGAGAGAGAAAGATAAGGATCTTATATTAGAAAGGAAGGTTAAGAGTCTACAGCCATACCACTCTTAAGGCGCCCAATCTAGTCTGATCTCAGAAGCTAAGCAGGGTTGGGCCTGGTTAGCACTTGGATGGGAGAAAGGAAGTTAGAATGAATTAAGAAGGGAGGACTAATTTTAAAAATAATTTTCCTTATGACTCAGAACATTTCCAAGATCCTTAGAGGTATATTTTAAGTTTAAAGCTAAAACTGGAGTTTGGAATATGTAAGACATTGAACTTTTATGTGGAAATTTTGAAAAGCACAGAGCTTTAGAATAATAACTTTGTTTTGCATGTGATAACAAGAGATTACCTTTTCTTCATATGAGAGCCTTTTAGTAATAAAGGATACAAAAATCACTGAATAATCTGTTTATTTTGGAAGACGCTAGAAAACTAGATTTGTATGATACTAAGTAACCAACTAAAAACTGAATAATTAGGTCAAAACTCTCTTCTGAGGCTGTCATCTGATTATTTATATACATTTGCAGATTTTACAGAATTTTAAAGTTTTTATCAAAATCAGCAACTCGGATAGAAAGCTGGCCTGGTCACTTAATGAAGTGCGTCTTTTGATGATCATAGCAACAGTGCCTTATACTTATTCAAGCCTTAGTTCATTTTGCATGAATAATTTGTCCTGTTGTACATCTGATTTTCCTTCAAAGCAAAGTGGAAAGATTAAATTAAAGAGAGCAGCTCTGTGTGAGCAGCTTTATTTTAATATACCATATGAAAACGACCAGAACTAATCAATGCCGACAGAACCAACCACAGACATCTGTGATTAAATTAAGACTAATTGGCTCTGAGTACGGGATGCAAACTATCTATAAACTATGGAGCGGAAAAACCTATGTCGCCAAGGTTATAAAACCATGTCCGAAAGTCAGCTATTAACGAGACAACTAGCCCAGCCATGTGTTGACCAAACCCTGTGAGTTTCCCAAGATGCCTCTTGTTTAGTCTAGAATCATTGGCGTAATGCTTTTATTCCCTTTCTCTCCTTTTTTTCCCTTAACGGCCCAGCTGACAACGATTTAGAGTTTTATTGCCATCTTCTCAGAGGCAGCTTGAACCCAAAGGAATTTCCAACTTATGAATACATAAAATTTGTAGGAAATTTTCGCTCCTACAGCAATGGTAAGCATTCATTGTCATAAAGTTGCGGTGGTTGTGTTGGCTTTTCTCATGCAGACCTGCCCCGGGGGCGAGAGTGTCGCCGTGGGGAGGCGCAAGGAGAAGATGTGCCTTCCACATTTGCACGTGGATTTCTGTGTTCCAAAGATGTGTTTTTGTTGCTCATAAATGGGTATCGCCCATTCGGGAAGAACACACCCCCACACCTGTTTATGCCAGCGCATTAAGTGCCGCCAAAAGGCAAGTTATTCATTTATTTATTTTCAGGCTAATGGAATAGTTCTGTGCTGCGAGAAACAAACAGCAGTTAATAAAGAACAGGCTCAGCCTACACACAGCCAAACAGGGCTTCGCTGTGACACGAGGATGCGCAACCTTGGTGCCTGCATTTTTATCCTCCTTTATACAGAAGTGCCTAAAGCCTGTTTTCAGAGCTTCAATCCACGGGCCTTCTGGGCTTCCCTGGGGGCTCAGAGGGTAAAGAATCTGCCTGCAAAGCGGGAGACCATGTTCGATCTCTGGGTTGGGAAGATCCCCTGGAAAAGGGAATGGCTATCCACCCTAGTATTCTTGCCTGGGAAATCCTATGGCCAGAGGACCCCTGGTGGGCTAGTCTGTGGGGTCGCAAAGAGTCAGACATGACTGAGTGACTAACTTTTCACAGGGTCCTCATGTTCAATCTGGACGTGGTCCTTTTATAAGGAGCCGCCCACCTCCATTAGATGAATTATCAAACTGCATCAGCCAAGCAGTAAAATGATGCTTTCTGGAATTACCCAGATAACTCATTGTATCCAAACTCTCAATTAGACTTAACCCTTCTGTTTTACTTTTGACCCCAAAATGAGAACACAGGCCTGATGCCAGAGATTCAGAAACACAAGCTCCAGAACACAGCCCCCACTGATGAGCCGGGCTCAGAGTGACCAGTCCTCAAAACCCGATACAAGACACCTAATTTTGAAAGCTCTAGCATTTCATTAAACAGCAAAGATGGGGGGAAAAAACAGAAAGCAGTGTTGATAGGAAATGGTGAAAAGAGAGCAGAGGGAAGGAAAAAGCACATACAAATACAGAAAGATAAGGGGCAATGGGAAGGACGGATGGGCGGGTGGGTGACAGGGGGACTGATGAAGACCCCCTGACTGGTGCCGCTTCGTTTGCTGTTGGCTCTGACCCATGATCAAGTCTATCACCCCCATCGAATTAGTCCCAGAGTTTCCAATAGAAGCAGCCAGAGTTGTGACCCTGAGTCCTAATGCTGGGCTCACCAGGATGTCTCCTCCAGCCTCAGAAGACCCCTGTTGTATGTTATTTGCATAAACATACAGGATTTGCTTAAAAGGCTGCAACGATTTGCTGACAGCATAATCCTCCAGGCCCAACATTCAGGGCTGATTCCTGGATGATGGGCTCCATGGCCAATTTGGGGCCCTTCTGAGAAGCTCTCCCATTCCTAGAGCTCGGGGTGTTTGAGTGGTTGGAAGTGGTAGCAGGTCAGCCTTCCCCGGTGTGTGTGTGTTAGTTGCTCAGTCGTGTCCGACTCTTTGCAGTGCTATGGGCTGTAGTCCTCCAGACTCCTCTGTCCGTGGGATTCTCCAGGCAAGAATACTGGAATGGGTTGACATGCCCTTCTCCAGGGGATCTTCCTGACCCAGGGATCGAACCCAGGTCCCCTTAATTGCAGACAAGTTCTTTACCATCTGAGCCACCAGGGAAGCTCCAGGGAACCCCTAAATCTGGGCAAATCAGGGTGAAGTCAAGGCTCGCCCACGTCTAACCTGACTCATCTGAGAGGCTTTCCTGAACCACATGGGACACAAGCATAATGAGCCACACAACTAAGTAAAGAAACTGACCCAAGAGGCGCCCCACGACAAAGTCAATTTGGTGCCAGCTTGGTGCCCGTGTTTCCCTGGGCAAGGGAGCTTGTTACCGTGCAGATTTCCCGGGTGTCGCTGGAAGATTCTACTTCAGGAGACCTGAGGGTGGGGCTGGGACTGAGCAGAAGGAAGAGAGCCTTGGGGTTCTGATACAAAGGGACTTTGAGAAACTGTCCCGTTGTAATCCTAAAGCCCATTGTTTGCATAGGAACTTTTTAAATTTATTTATTTTTATTGAAGGATAGTTGCTTTACAATATTGGTTTGATTTCTGTCATACATCAACATGAATTAGCCATAGGTGTATATATGTCTCCTCCCTCTTGAACCTCCCCCCTACCTCCCACCTTTTCCCACCCCTCTAGGTTGTTACAGAGCCCTAGTTTCACTTCCCTGAGTCACACAACAAATTTCCATTGGCTATCTATTTCACGTTTGACAGTGTATATGCTTCTATGCTACTTTCTCCAGAGGAGCCTGTCTGGCTACAGTTCATGGGGTCTTAAAGGGCCAGACACGACTGAAGCAGCTTAACACATGCTTCCATGCTACTTTCTCCATTCATCTCACCCTCTCCTCCTCCCCTAACCCTTGTCCATAAGTCTGTTCTCTATGTGTACATCTCCACTGCTGCCCTGCTTAGGAATTTTAATGACACTCCTCTTGCTTACAGAGCTCTTCCAGGCAACTCTGTCCTTGAATTAATATAAGTGTTGGCTTGGATGTTGCTTAAAATGTGTGCAGTGGCCATAATGCCACCTGCTGGGGTAGCAGCTTATCCCCATTGGTTGCATGCAAGGAAGGACCCCCAGAGTGCCAAGACTATGGAAATTATGGGATGCTGCTCCCATGTGTCTCCATGACAACAGTGCACATGCTGCATGAAGGGTACCAGGTTGTGATTGGCTGGTGAGCAGTGTTAGCCTGTGAATTTACATTTCCACGACTCTCATTAAGATGCTACTGAACACTGCTTTGAAGCTTCCTGTCATTTATCACATTTTAGAGGGTTTCGGGGAAATAGCCTGGCTTCATTGAGAATACCTGAGACTTTTCATTTTTTTTAACTAACAAGGTTTTATTTTCAAGTTGAGACAATGTTTGTTTGCCTGAAACAATATGTGGAAATCATGTGTGATTTTTTTTTATTTTGAAACTGTTGCTGCTAAAAACACACAGCGTGAAAAGTGGAAAATTTTAAACCAAGAATCTAAAACCAGCGTGTCTTTCCAGAGCCTGCTAAACAAACCACAGTTAGGGGGTCTTTCTGGGAAAAAGAGTCTCCCAGTGTAATTGTGGAAAAGCTGAAGTCTAATTCTTATTCAGATTAAAACAGCAAAATATGTCAGACGAATGAATTTCTGAGATGGAACCCTATGTGTTCACCAACATCCAGCCATTTTTTATCTCTCAAGTAAGGCTTTAATGTAAGAAATCATTCAAATTTGGTTCTGTAGGTTTGCTTCTCAATAAACATGAAATAATGGAATAATAAAAACAGCTCACCTTAGGAAGGTTTCCTTAGCCCCTGGTCCTGGACTCAGTCCTGACACTGGTCATCTCATTGAGTCCTGGCAGCAGTCTCTTGAGATTGTCCTAATGACATTATCCTATCTTTTTTTTTAATTGAAGAATAGTTGATTCACAATGTTATATTAGTTTCAGGTGTACTGCACAGTGATTCAGTAATACATATATGTATATATATGTACATCCCAGGTGGTGCTAGTGGTAAAAAGTCCTCCTGCCAATGCAGGAGATGCAAGAGATGCAGATTGGATCCCTGGGTCAGAAAGATCCCCTGGAGGAGGAAATGGCAACCCACTCCAGTATTCTTGCCTGGGAAATCCCATGGACAGAAGAACCCGGTGGGCTAGTCCATGGAGTTGCGTAGAGTCAAACAGAACTGAGGGACTGACCATGCATATGTATGTGCATATATGGATTAAATATGTATGTGTGTATATATATGAATGTTGAAAGTGTTAGTCGCTCAGTCATGTCCAACTCTTTAGAATCCCATGGACTGTAGCTCACCAGGCTCCTCTGTCCATGGAATTCTCCAGGCAAGAATACTGGAGTGGGTAGCTATTCCCTTCTGCAGGGTATCTTCCCAACCCAGGGATTGAACCCAAGTCTCTCACATTTCAGGCAGATTCTTTACCATCAGAGTCACCAGGGAATCCCTATATATGAATATATATATATATTTTTTTTTCTTTTTCAGATTCTTTTCCCTTATAGATTATTACAAAATACTGAGTATTATTTTTTGTGCTATACAGTAGGTCCTTGTTGGTTATCTCTTTTATATGCAATACTGTGTATATGTTAATCTCAAACTCCTAATTTATTCCCCCCCACCACCAGGTTTCCCCTTTGGTAACCATAAGTTTTGTGTTCTGAGTCAGTGAGTCTGTTTCTGTTTTGTAAGTAAATTCATTTGTATCTTTTTCTTTTTAGATTCCACAGATGAGTGATATCATTTGATATTTGTCTCTGACTTAACTTCACTTAGTATGATAATCTCTAGGTCCATCCATGTTGCTGCAAATAGCCTTATTTCATTCTTTTTATGGCTGAGTAGTTTATTTATTTATGGGGTTTTTTTTCTTTTTTTTTTTTTTTTGGCTGTGCTGGGTATTCATTGCTGTACTGGTTTTTCTCTAGTTGCAGCAGATGGGGGCCACTCTGGTTATGATACACAGGCTTCTCACTGCCGTGGCTCCTCTCGGTTGCAGAGTGTGGGCTCCAGGGCAGATGGGCTTCAGTAGATGTGGCATGTGGGCTCAGTGATTGCAGCTCCCAGGCTCTCGAGTGCAGGCTCAAGAGTTGTGGTACACAGCCTTAGTTGCTTCACATCATGTGGGATCTTCTCGGATCAGGGATTGAACCTGTGTTTCCTGCGTTGGCAGGCAGATTCTTTACCACTTAGCCACCAGGGAAGGCTGGGGTGTATGTGCCTTTTCAAATTATAGTTTTCTCCAGATATATGGCATTATTCCATCTTAACAAAGGAGGAAATTGATACAGAAAAGAGTTAAGTCTCAGGCGCACAGGTGGGACATGCAGGACCCACATTCAGAGCAAATCTAACCCAGAACTCATACTCTTAATTTCA